TGGTGGGGGAAAGGCGTGGATTTGATTGGAGGGCCTTCAACACTTCTCTCTTGTGGTTTCTTGGGTGTGTTACGCTGTCGGAAAAGTAGATAGAGGTCAATCCTCCTCCCTGGTGGTGTTTTGGAGTGGGTACGCACCCCTTCTGTTCTATGTGTTCGAAACATTAGTTTTAGTGTAGTGTGTGCCGCCCCACTATATATACACATGTGTATATACACATATGTATATATATATATATGTGTATATATATGTACATATATATACACATATATATATATATATATATATATATATATATGTATATGTATGTATATGTATATATATATATATATATATATATATATATGTGTATATATATGTACATATATATGTATATATAGCTGACGGCTATATGAGATAATCGCAAAACTGAGTGAACAGACTCGAAACAAGTATGAAGAAAACTACTATTTTGCAGTCCTTAGAAAGTGGTTCCGAACTAAATAATGATACAAATGGGTTGCCATACATTTGCTTATTTTCCACAGTTACAAAACCGAGAAAGCAAAATTACTTATGTATGTACACCCTTGAATAGTCTACTTTCCCCGCATTCAGCAGTGCGGTTGGAGTTAATGGCAAATTGGGCCACAGGGTCTGCGCTTTCGGCTACACGTATGCAGGCTGAGCAACATTTCAAATTAACTCTGTAGTCCCTTTCCGTTCCTGAGTTTAACGTCTGATCTGTTGTAATTGTATTGGCTGAAAGTCCATGCTGTGTTACAGTGAAGTGGGTGGTTGTCTCTGGAATGCGGGGGGCGGGGGTGATGGGCAACAGCGGGGATGCCAGATTGTGTAAACTCAGCGGGGACCTCCCACCCCCAGGCTCTCGACTATTGCCTCCCATGACAAGCAAACTGGGCAAGTTTTGGAGCGTCGCGGGGCCTTTTTTTTTGGCATGAGAAGGTGTGTATGAAGCTTTGAACAATGACACACGGGTGGGCACGATCTAAAAGGATTCCCGCTGAGTGTCTAAGCCGAGCCCCGAAGCTTCAGTGGAGCGCGTGGGTGAGGGCCTAATCTGGCAACCCATGAGCTACAACCTTTCCAAATCAACTTTGGAATCACAAACCTGCATTGTCTTAAACAGAAACCGACCATCTGGGTAAAATTATCGAGACCCCCTGCATCTCATCTTATTCCATGGTGTGTCTGCGTGCGAGTTCACAGACATAAAAAACACTTTGTTCTCAGCTTGGGAAGAAGCGGAATGGTACCGATCATGTGGGTGCTCTCACCTTTATGTGTTGTTTTCTTTCTCCTTTGTTCTTTTCCTTCTGTCCGGGAGTCTAACGGGAATCCGGCGTGCTTCCAGACGGGCCTGGGTGTTCTGAGCAAAGACTGCGTGGAGGTCATGAAGAGGTTCCGCCACACCGTCCGCGCGTCTTGGGCCTCCATCCGCCGCTGCTTACTATCGTGTGACCCTGCCGGTGGAGGAAGTGTCCCATTGCAGAACTTCAGGAAGGTCGGCGTCCACCCAGCTAAACTGCTTCTTTATGAATTATTGATCCAACTCTGCTTGTGTTCCTTCAATAAAAGTGTCTAAAGGAGAGTGACTGAAAATCCATGCAGCTCAAACTTGCAGGCTTGCAAAGACACACACACACACACACACACATGCGTGTTCACTTGACAGTCAATCAGTAATTTTAATTGTTCAATTAAGCTGAAGGTTGCAACAAGACCACGCTGACGTTTGGGCACGGGAGAACAGCAGCTGACACTCCTGTTTTATTGTTCCTGCCAGTCACCTGCTGTTTAATCCACTGACGACAAGGAGCTAATCGATAGAAACAATTAGCAAGCGATGTCATCTCCTAAATCTCTCTAGCTAACAAGTGCGCCCATACACACTCCAGCTCTGCCTTTGTCTACCTGCAGGTTCTTCGGCCCTTCAGCGTCAAACTGTCAGAAGAGGAGTTCTTCCAGCTCACCTCCTAACTCGATGCCAAGACCAGCGGGAGGATCTGCTAGAACAACTTCCTGAGGGCCTTCCTTCACGGACCTTCACACAGCTGTTTAAAGCTGCTTACGCAAGTCTTTTGGTGTTTGCCTATCTTTTTGAGGTTATTTTGTTGAATAGCAAATTAGGTATATGGTGATATGTAATATGGCAGTGGGTATAAGCTGGCGGGAAAATCAAATCGGCATCCCCTGGAAGAGAATTGCTCTAAAACATTCATTGCAGATTGCAGTCAATCCCAGCTAACATCAGGCGAGAGACGGCGTAAACAAATCCGTATTGATTGATGAATTCTTGCTCTTAAACCAGGGTACCACAGCTGGATCTAAACATGGCGGGTGCTGCTCCGGCCGCCATTTTGAAGAATATAAAATTGGTGCAGTAACAGAATATTAATTCATAGACGTTCCTTATTATTCCCCAGTGATTGACTGGTTAAAGACTTCTGAATGTTTTTCTTTGTGGATGGTGGAATCTTTCAAATGCCGTTAAGACTTGTGTGAGTAGGCAGAAAAACATATTTTTAATCTGTCTGATGTATTAATGGCAGGATGTACGGCGGGTTTGAAAAATAAGAGAGCCTTCACATCTTCCGCCGCAAACTAAAGACACACCTCTTCAGACTAACTCGACTAAAAGACTAACAAATTGTAGCACTTAAATTGTACTTATAATGGCACTTATCTATAGCAAATGGTAAATTGGCTAATATCACACTTTCTTGTTTCTTGCTCTTCTAAGTTTGTATCCCTGTGGTGGAATGCACTTATTGTAAGTCGCTTTGAATAAAAGCATCAGCTAAATGACATTTAATGTAACGTTAATGTCAATGTAATATGTTTACAATTTGCATTACTAAGTTACCACCTGCAGTTTTAAGCGAAGGCCTGTGTGGGACCACTGTTATTATATTGCTCAATATTATGCATACATGGTGCATATTCCTTAATAAATACATGTGTGTACAAAATTATTAAGTTCTGAAACTAATATGGAAAGGGTTGGGGGCCTCTTGGTGATTTTCCCCGGCCCTCAAAGCAAGACCTTGTTTAAAACTAGAGTTTTACATTTTATCTTCCACCGATTCAACAAATAGATCTATCGAGGGATTTAAGTGAAAAATATGAAAAAATAAAAAAATAACGAGACTGATAAACGATTTGAGCGTGTTCTCCACTCTGTTGCCTACCTGACTATTTGACACTTATTTGTGTTCCTGAGATAATCAAATAAAGTGCCTTTTTTATGATGCACACGGCGGAAAGAACCAGGTGCATCTTTTGTTCTCACATGAATGTGAAGTGAGCTGGATGACAAGGAGACGGAGGGGATGTCTGTCATTCATTTAAAGGAAAGCAATGCCGCATGCAGCAAGATAGTAGCTCTTAGAGGAGGAGAGGAAACATGTAGAGAGCTGGGAGTCATTATCTATGAGGGAAGAGCAAATGGAGAAATAGCTTAGCATCGACGTTAGAGAGAGTTAGAAAAGAAAAATAGGGAGGGAGGGAAGAATATATGAAAGCTAGTTATATTAAAGGTAAAGTAAAAAAAGCTCAGGAATAAATTTCCCGGTCTCCCCTTGGGATTACTAATGTAATTATTTGAACGAGGGTTCTCATTAGATGTGCAGAGGTGTGGAAGACCTGCGGAGCAGCATGGGAGACAGAGACGGAACAACGAGGGTTTATCCTGGAAATTAACTCCGGGCTCTATAATTGATACGAGACAAAGATACCTTTTGATTTGGAACAAATGCGAAAAGAAATGGACAAGGGAAACTTTCCTCGCCACCTCTAATTTCTGTTCTCTACGAGAAATAAAGTATGTGGAAGACAAAAGGGGAAGAGCGAGAATAAAAGTAAGGGAAGCATGACCAGCGGTAACAGATAAGATTTTTATTCAAACGGTGACTAATCTCTCAGAACCAGAATCCATTTGGTTTTTAAGAAAGAGAGGTACTTTACATTTCAGAGTTGGCTCCAGGAGCAAAACAGTTACATTTTTACAGTTGTTGGCTTTTCAGTTACCCCCCCCCCTCCCCCCTCAAAAAAAAGCCCCAAACAATAATGGAAAAATACAATACAAAGACTTTTATTCCAAAATGCCATACATCCCTTTAAAGATAACAAAGACCTGCAGTTGATAACCATCAGGTTACATTGACATATCAGCTCAAGAAATTATGCGATTTAGGACACAAACAATGCTTTATTAAAAAAGTTTTGTGTGGGCGACCTCACCTCAAACGGAATATATCTGATTTTGGAACAAAACACTTTATACGCAGATTGTCTGAGTAGCAGAGGTCATTAACTCCTTTAAGCATTCCTCAAGAAAGTAACCAAGTAATAGTACAGCAACACGACTACAGAAGCAGGGACGCAGCAGGCAGACGGCCCTTCATGAAACTGAGGGATGAAATTGCCTCCCATATTTTGGTTTTAATAGTTTTAATCCCTTTTATTCCTCTCTTTTTTCCGTTAGAGACGTTAATTAAGCTTCTTTTTTAAAGGATGAGGTCATCCTTTCATTTGTTTTAAATACACTCACACAGACACACATCCACACCCTGTGTTGTGCCCGTAGCTACATTCAGACTATTACTGCTAACCCATGTGGACACAGACCACAATGCGTGATCAGATGGATTTGTGATCAGCGCATTGACTGCGCACACGTTCCCCCCGTTCAGTTGGTGGTGAATGCGTATTTAAGCGGTTTACAAAGAAGAAGATGACAGTGGATGCTTGTTTAAAAGAGTTGTGTAACAAGATACGCTGATTAAAAAAAAATCCAGGTCCAGATTTTGTCAATTTAGCGGCAGCTAAATCAGAATTGTTAATTAAGATTTGATTCAAAAGTTAACTTTAAGATTAAAGCAGCAAAGTGGAGTTACATGACGTACAAAATGTACCTGTATTATTTTTATGAATAAAACTCGGCTCTAGGTACGACCTCTCTGTGGACTATTTCTATGCTTTATTATGTTTACAATTAGGAATTTATAATTCCTTATTGCCATTCACTAAATTGAAAGGTGTTTCATTTAAAAAAGGGACTATAAATACATCATATACTAGAAGAGCACTCAGAGTCCAAATGCCCCCGTAATGAAAAATAGCAGAACCATAAATCTGAGCAGATCAATTGTGTATCTCTATGTCAGCTCTGTGACTGTCAGATGTTAACTTGAATTGCCTCCGCCCCCCCCCCCCCCCCGCCACCCTTTAAGGATAAGCGATGTGGTAGATGACTGACTGAATCTGTGCTGCTCCAAAAAGTGATGTTAGACTGTTGGGCTATACAAAATAAAATGAATTGAAACTCAATCCATGGACTCCTTGGCTGAGGTAACAAATTGACTTCTAATGTCTAATCAGTGGTGTTGGAAAGTTAGCTAACAAGTAAACTTATTTTATTGTTACCACTCAGATGGCATGAGCCCCATATTATTGGGGATCTTGAGGTTTTATCATAGATGACCTCAACAGTGCACTAGAACTTCCAACATGAATTGCAGTTCCTGTACTCTTACGTACCATAACTTCATCGCAATATTGAACCCAACCCTAAACCTGCCCCATTTCATTTCAGGACCTAAAGCTCAACGTAGCTTCATGTAGCATACGCACAAACACACTCACTCACTCACTCACACTCATCCAGCAAATGGAGCAGAGGAGGAAAAAAATTAAAATTTTCTTCTTTAAAACACAGACAAACTGCAAAGAGACGTTCAAGAGTTAATAGTCACCAAAATGAGGCCTAGCAGCTTCACAGAGAAGAGAGAAGAAAATACCCAAATACGCATTTACATGACTAAGTAATAGACCAAAGGAAATGTAACAACCACAAATATCAGGACATTTTAAGCTTGAAACAGCTTGGAAATGTCTGAGAAAAACGTTTTTATCTTTATATTGACGTAGAACATTTACATTTAACCAGTTACACTACATGTAATTACAGCTTTACTCCTCTTGAAAAAAGGGAAAAGTCTCCCAGAAACAACCACCAGTTTGACTGCCCAGAAGCCGTGCTGGTCCTTCACTGCGTGGACAATTAAGGGCAGAAAAAAATATACAAAATATGGAAGGGGAGGCCCAGCTGGATCCGTGTCAACATGGCTGATAACCCGACTCTCCACTTTAAACAAAGATCATTCTCTGGGCCCGAGGATGGGCGAGAAACAGGAGGAAAATGAGGGGGGACAAAAGTTCTGTTAAAATCCCGCCGGTGGGGCAAATGTTGTCTAAGTTGTCACATAGACGAGGTGCCGCGTTGTTTCACGTTAAGTCCTAATGGCTTCAGTTCATTGAAGCGGAGTAAAGAACGGGGATGTCGGTGATGTCTCTCGCCTCCCTGAGAGCCACATCCGATTGTCAGTGCAGTAAAAGAGGACATTGAAAAGCGTCTTTCGGCTCGTCTATTAGTCTGCTTTTAGACTCAGATGAACACATGATGGGACGTGAAATAATAATAACGCTAAGAAGGGAGCGTCCCCTCCCTTCAGTCCCCTTTTGTCCCCCGCCATGTCCGGCGTGTCTTTCGCACACACACACCGGCTTCGTATTTACAGAATCTGCTCCGCCGACCTTCACCTGTCTCTTCTGGACCCTTTCTCCTGATCGCCGGCAGGCGTTTTGGGGCCGGCCTCCTCTAGTCATGTGGTCCTCCCGGGGTTCGGGAGGTCAAAGACGATGGGCGCGTTCATGGGCAGGAAGTTGACGGTGCAGGCGGAGGCGTTGACAAACGTTGTGGTGCCGTCAGTCATCATACCGTAACCTGGGTATTAGGAAAAAAAGTTTTTTTATAGTATTTTGATTTTTATACTTTGATCACCAGTATGATTGTGAGATTGTGTGTTCATTCTCCAAATGGAATTTCAAATGTATTGTCAACAATTATCTTTATTGTCAAGATGCCTGTTCCTGGCACTAATTCTGAACGTTGAATGTTTGTTCTTGATTCTTTTATAACAGTGAAGAGTTCAATATAACTCATTACGGAATGTTTTTCCTGGTAACAACTAACTCGTGCCTCCTCAAAGGGAACGCAAACATTCAGTACATCGGCACCAATATTTGATTGAATAATCAGGGGAAATACTGACTATCACAGTGGAACCCGGGATGAAAAGCATGTGACGCATCTGATGGAGATTGTGATAAATACATGGAGCGAATCAAACCCTGGAGTTATCAACGCTGAGCATCCTCATCAATTCCAAAATGGCCAGAATCCAGTTTGAGTAAATGTATGCATGAGTGTGACACTAACACCACTACAGCTAGAAAATATCTGTCTCAAAGGCACTTCGGATCAACGTAGATCCCAAATGGCAGATGTCGTGTTACCATTTGTCGAGTATAAGTTAACCACCATCCCTCACAAATTACCACTGTACAGTTTGGCTTTGCACTATCAGTGATTTTCTTTTATGTGTAGGTGTCACGTTCACCATCTCTTAGAAGCGAGCAGATGTCCATGTTGGTGCTTTCAGATTTGGAATACATGAATACTAAGCAAGCTGAGGGGGATGTCTGTCTTTCTGATTCCTTGCATTAATGACGAGAGATGTTTTCTGCTTCTTTCTCCTGATATGAAGTGTGATCTAGTTTCTAATCTGGCTCTCTGTGACGTGGCACCGCTTCACGGGCTCATCGCTGACCTGGTTAATGCCAAAAAAGCAATCTTTCAGCCCATGGAGACTCTCTAACTCTCTAACCTCTCTGGCTCGGATGTAATGCTCAGTTTCAGGTTCATTTTATTTTGTAAAGCTTTACAGTTTGTACACAGGCGACATCCTCCGTCCCAAAACCCTCACATTGACACATGGAAAAAATCCCCAAAAAATAAAGAAACCCTTCGATCGGGAGAAAGAGGGAGGAAACCTCAGGGAGGATCGCTCTCCCAGGATGGACCGACGGCAAAGGATGTCATGTGTACAGAATGAACAACGCAATAGATGTACACTAGGTTTCAGTGAACTGTTTCCGTTTGATTCAGTCACCTGAGGAACACTAAGACTCCAAACTGCAGCCAAAATGCCACGATCCAAGAAAGATCTGAGATGATGAATATGTTAAAATGCTCAACCAAATCAGGTCAGTTGTTAAGCTTCACAGCACTTCAGCCTTACGAGCAGTAGAGTGAGTGACCCTGGATCCACAAACGAGCTGGTGTAGCTGCTTTGTGGAGGTTGTTGTGAGTTGAGCGTTACAGGCTTGTTCACATACCTTCATGAATATGTCCGAACACATGCAACTTGGGCTGGACCCTCCTCTGGACTGTGTTCAGCAGCTCCATGCACCCCACACGCTGCATCTTCTTTGGGACCCAGTCCAGGAAACCTGTACACAGTAACGCACAAATCAAATATTGATTTTTTTGGAATCAGCTTCCACTTTCAGTCCGGGGGGGGCGGATATAGTCACCTGATTTAAAACCAAGACTAAGACTTTCCTCTTTGATAACTCTTGTAGTTAGGGCCGTGTCACATGGCTTTCTTTGCTGTGGCCCAAAAGTAGATAATGAGGTTGGTGGGCAAATTAATCTCTTTCTCCGTCATACATCTCTTATAATGGTGGTTGGCTTGGTTGAGGCAGATAGAGTGCCGTGCGTGGTAGTTAAGAGCAGAATAATGCCACATTTCATTGAGCGGGTAGTGTAGCTCCTCTAAATGCATTGTAGGAAATGGTGTGTAAATTACTATCCAACTATTCAAACCAATAAGAAAACTGCCACCCATTTCAAATGTTAACGGCTAATTGAATGGGCAAATGGATAACTGCAACAAGAATACTTTAGACATGCCACACTTTGTTCCAGGTGACTGTGGCACATGGAGGTGAGAGGGTGCGCCAGTGATTGCAAGGTGGGCGGTCCAGACCCTGGCTGTTGTACGCCCCGTGTCGACGACTCCCACTGAGCAGGATGGTTAAATGCACAGAATGATTTCCCCACTGTGATTAAGGTAGGATACATTCTGTCTTTCTTTCTACTTCTACCATTAAAAGCCAACTCCTTGTTATCATATCATTGAACAACCATATTAATTGATGGTAAAGGCCTTCCAAATCTACCAGTAAGCCCCATCTAACCAATATCTGTAATCCTGATAATCCACTAACATTCAATTCAATATCAATCAGAGTTGGTGAAACTTTCGACTTAATTTCCCTAAAATGCGTATAGATTAGGACAAAAATACGATGACTACATGTTAAGTGCAAAGTGTTACCAAATACTTATTAGGACTTCTCTTGAAAAAGTGGAGTGTGCCAAAAACAGTAAGAAATTACCTCAATGTGTGTTCCGTATTTATCGTATAAATAGGAAATACATTTGACTATTTTAAAACGGTAACAAAACAATGATCTGTTTTCACTTCATAAATAGTGTTGGTTATGCGCTAATTATCCGGTTTGGAGATTTCAGTAATGCGGGCAGCGTTGTGATGAAACTGTTGGGTTGATTTTCTGATCAGAATGTGCCTCTCGTACGGTTATACATTCAGTCCCCCGTCAAAAAGCTATACATCACATTTTAAAACAAAGCCATCCAATTCCGACACCTTGTCTAATGGCAAACTGCACCAGAAAAAAAGAGTCTCCTAGAAATCAGCCACATAAAATAAAGATCAATCACAGCCACACACAGCTGCAGACTTCCCAGTGTGTGTGACAAGGATGAAACATGGAGTGTATATGATTTAGTGGACGCTCCGGGAGGACGGTTGCTGCTGATGCTGAGTCAATAAAAGCATCAAGTCGGAGATATAAAATGACCGAGGAGCTTATGCCTCCATCTTCTCTGCCTTCTGTTGCTCTTTCCAGACAGGAATAAGAGTGTAAACACAAAGGCAAAAGAGAAAAAACAACAACAACAAAAGAACAAATGATCAAATGAGAAACTAAAAAAAGACTGGCATTGTATTTTTCAACATATTGTCTATGAAATGCAAGATTGTACAAACAAAAAAAAGTAATTGTAAAGTGCCATTGATTCTATGTAAAATATGCATTGGTTATTTCTGGAGCCTCAAATGGACTGGAGAAAATAACAGCATCTTCTCCAAAAGGATCACAGAACTCTGACCAGTAGTTCTAAAAATATCCTGACTTTTGGACCAAATTGAATTGACGAACAGAAGAAACACATTTAAAGACGATGACATTGAAATCCTAAATTTGAAACCATAGACTGTGGTGTGATGAGAAGTCCTTTTCTACTCGATGCACGATCAAGTAATGTTTGTATTACCTTTGTATAAACGTCAATGGAGAAATTCCACTTGTGGTTGAACCTTGTCTATGATTACAGACATAGATCAAGAACAACCCATTCATCAATTGCCCTATTAAGTCCAAGCCACGTCTCGGGGACAAGGCCAGGTCGAGCCTCAGCTATTTAAGGGGGGCAAGTGGAGCTTTTTATATTTTTAAGGTCATGTCAATGTTAAGCTCAAGTCTCGAGTCTTGAAGGTGGAGTCTGAGCCAATTCTTAAATATTTAAGGTCCAAATCAAATGTTGGGGGAAAATAAAATCCTCCAAATCAAAGCCTGTTTTCAAGTCTTTAAAGTTTGACTTGCCTACACTAAACAAAATGTCTAAAACCTCGATAAATTCTTTTTTTTTACGGAAACAGTTCATTAAATACAAGTATTGCGAGTCAATTGGATCATCTATTGAGATCTCAGGTCAAGTCTTTGGGGGGTTTAAGAGTCCAAGATGACTAGTTAAGTCATGTGTCCCAAGTCTCAAACTCAAAGTTTAGTCCCTCACCTAGAAAAACAATATAAAAGTTTTTTGGCCATTTGTTTGTGAGACTTGACACAGCAACAATAAGTCTCCTTCATAGCGGCAACTGAAATGAGAGGCATAGAGGAAAGACTTTGTAGGGGTGATTCTTTACACATTTTATCACCGTAGGAAGCAACGCTAATGGACCATCTCACACTCAACATGGACATAAAATCGTCCATGTTCTGTGCCGGTAGTGAATCCGTCATCGTGGTAAACTAACAGTAGTCTGACTTCTTCCTCCTGAAATGTCTCGACCTGTATAAAATATACTTTTGATATCAGCTTGAATGAGAAAGGAAGCAGCATTATAACAGTAAGTGTGTCCTTTACAAGCCTTGGGCGATGGTGAAGTGCGACGTTACGAGGGGCTTTTTTGGGTCTCGGGGTATTTTGCTCTAATGTACCGCTTGTTTCCAAAAGCAGCTGCTGCTTTGGGCACTGTGCCTATTTTCCTCTTTTTGTCTCACTTTCTCTCTGTTCACTTCTTCCTCACAGCCAGAGAAGGGGGCCATATTTCCTTTCGAGCTGCCGATTTGCCGTTTTATCGCGCCTCATAAAAGACGAGAGCTTTTGGTGCAGTGCGAAAAGACGTTTTGCTCACACACTTTTTTTTCTTTCACCTTCTCGGTCATTATTCGCTTCGCACCCTTCCTAAAAAATATTTTTTAAAAGGATGTCTTTTAATGACCTATGGCGCTTTAAACATTCCACCTCATCAGCACAACTTTCGTCCTCCGTCCCCTTTTCGCCATTTTGCGTTCCCATGCCATTCCCTCCTGTGTCACTCTGGGTCTATATATATATTTATATATATGTGTGTGTGTGTGTGTGTGTGTGTGTGTGTGTGTGTGAGTGTGTGTAATGCATCAGTAGCCCAGTACAGATGCTCCATATGCCTCCGGCTTGTGAGCAGATAGCTGGAAACACTTCGCTAAGCTGAATTGAAAATAATGTTGAGACGTGAACGTAGAAATCAATCACACACACTCGTCTGAGCGCCGCAGCTGCAGCGGGAGATGAGGTGTGAAAGTGTGCGAGGGCGAGTGAGAGTCAGAGAGAGGGAGGCGAGTGTATCTGTGTGTGTGTGAGACAGAGACAGGAAGTACAGGATGTCGGTGTTGGTTTCAAACCAAACTGTCCCATGTTTGTGTGCGCGGACCATAAAGAACGTAAAAGCGGAAAGGCGATCACAAAGAAGGCCACTTATCTGCGAAAGTAAAGTGTGTTTCCACGCAGAGCAGGAACAGCTGAGCGCAGTGCGTGAGTCACTGCTTGTATTCAACAAGACAATAATTCTATCAGCGCCACTTTCAAATAAAGCATCCAAACAGAGCGTGCTGATGGTGTCTGTAAAACACGTTGTTTACGTGGTTGGTATGAACACGTTTTGCAGGAATATGTTTTGCCGCGTCCTAAAGGATCATTCACACAAACCTCAGTGACCGTTGGCTTTCGCAACTACAATCCGCCAACTCTCCAGCTCTGCTCCATAGACTCTCATTCTTTAGTTCCAGCTTTTCTTAATGTTGAGGCTGGTGTAGAGGATTCGAAGCTCGTCCTGGTTAAATGCTTATCTAATAAAGATGCTCATTTCCCAGAGAGATAAAAACCTGTGGCGCTAACATTAGCAGACTACCACAGCACCTCAGTAATAGCACTTCTCTGCCACGCTGGCTATTGGCGTTATACGGATAATCGTAAAAGGTGAAAGAAAGGTTTAGCCAAGGGTCAATTTGCAATGTCCCCTGTTCAATTCTATCCAAGGGAGGTTTTGTTTGCATGTTACATGAATATAAATAAATAAATATAAAAGTCGATGAGCATTTTTTAGGCTGTTGCCGGTATTTCAATCAATTTAATTGTGACTACTTTTAGGTCCACAAAGGATTGAAGAAATATTGGATTTGATACCCACATTAACTGAACAAGATCAACATCCGGACCTTTCTTTAAGACACAGCTGTCACTCATTCTGCCCCAAACACATGCTGTGTATTGATCAAACAGATGGAGTTCGTATTTCCGCCTGCAAGGTTCCTCTTTTCTTTCTGCTTCATGCATTTAAAGATACATAATGCAAATGCTCTAATGGGGCAAATACATTTTAACCGAGGTAAATTGAGTGTTCAATTAACTTATGCTGCATTCGCCACTACTTGCAGTGTAGGATTTTCCCATTTGATTTTTGAAGCATCCACATTTGTCTGGCATTTTTGCCAGAATGCCATAAATGATCTGATGACTATACAAAGCTACCTTATAATATATTCCGACATATTTGGATCAATTTAGGAGAACAGGTTTTACTATAATAAAGTCAGCGATGGTTTGATATTTACGCACTTTACTTAAATTGAACAGAATGTCTCCAATCTCCACCTGCGGCTCTATCGTGCTCCACTAGTGGATTGTGCACATTATTGCATCTTTTGATTTGTAAAAATATTTAGATAACATAACAAGAGTATGATTAACATTTTGAATAAAACCCTTTTTCCTCAGGTGGAATCGAAATGAAGTAAGCGCCACACCGGCGCCTCCACATGTAGGCGTGTGCGTGCTGTAATGTGTTACTCACCCAGTGGGGGGCAGTGTGTGACCAGGATGTCTGTGTTCTCAGGGATTTGGTTCCACTTGTCCAGCAGAGCTTGGCCCCGGGGCAGGTTGAAGCCCCATCCGTAGTACCAGGGCTGCCTGTAGACACACACACACACACACACACACACACACACACACACACACACACACACACACACACACACACACACAGGAAGTAAAAAGAACAGACATGTTGGTCGGTGTACTGAGACAAGTACAGACAAATGTCATCTGGGATGCTTTAAATATTTTTTTTATCAGATATTGCACGTCACACCCTCTACTTATGTTGCTATGATGTTTATTATTATAATACGTCCTTAATAAAATTCATTCATTATAATTATGTGATAAAACATGATCATCAATTGAACAGTGGAGACGTATTTGGCATATAATTAGCATTTAAGTCAGTTATAATGTATGCCCTCTTTGTCAAAATGCATTCATGGAGCATAAGGTTTTAGGAGATTGGACAATAGATTTCTGAAAAAAAACGTATGTTACAAAACTAAACAAAAACTAACCGTAAATGAATCACTGAGATAGAAAGAATTACTTTGCAGACATTGTCGATTGGCCCGTGCAGACGGGATCCCTTTGGACAACAGTCTAATGTTATCACTTTATTATTGTAGTTTTCAGGCCTTTCGGCACCAGGGAGAAAATGTTTGTAGCTACGCAGACGTTTTTTTCCTTTTTTTGTGGACAGAACCTCTCTAGAACTTCTCTAACTGAAACCTCTTGGAGTTGTGGCCCCGAATGGCGTGTGCAAAAAAACATTAGGTAAATTATCGAGAGCAAAGATCATAACTGCAGCTTGACGTCTCTTTCCTCTTTTTGCACCCCACGCAAGTAAACAACTGACACGTCCTCCTCCGACTATCCCAACACGAGGTTTGACCTTCAAGATGAAGAGCAGGCATCTAGTGTAAGAATCCAACAGGATCCCCGGTGTGGGGGGGGGGGTCCTTGATCACAGTCGGGCCCCCAAACGCTCAGTGTCGGGGGGACAAACAGTGGAAGAAGAAGAAGAAGAAGAAGAAGAGGAGAACGTGTCCCTTTACTTTGATAACGGCCCTGAGTGACGGAGAAGAAATTAACATGTCACTTACAATCTGTACCCCGATCCATCTTACTCTCCAATGCACCGTATGTGTGTGCGTGCATATGTGTGAACGTTTGTGTCGCCTCTGCGAAAGAGGCTTTTTTTAAATTGCCAGGTGCAGTCACTCGAAACAGCAACTTTCCCGCCGTGGCTGCTGCCTGACGCGTCGCTGCTCAGTAGCACATCAGATCCGAGCATTTCTTTCCGATGATATCCGGAGTGTGTCCAACATACTCGGAGAACTCAAAGACAGGCGGGGAGACAGACAGATACTGACACTGATGTCAACATACATGGGGAAATGTGTTCTAAATGGTTGTATTGTCATGTGCACAAGCTTGATTAAGTCAATATTGTCTGATTGACAGGGATTGACAGCCAATGGGAACTGGTGGAATTGTCATGTATCAATAAAGTTTTGCTTTACTGAGCAGAACCGATGTCCCACTGTGTTTTATTTCTCTACAAATATTTTCACGCTAGAGACATGAACAGCTTACATCTGTTAACAACACAGTGTCCTCCGTCTCCCCCCTGTGCTTCTCTCTAATTAAGAAAGCTACAACAGAACTGCAGGTCACATGCGCGTGGGAGAATTGATGGGCGGTCAAGCACATGTGGCAGCGCGTCATGTGTGTGGAGATCACGTGCCACATTCCGGCTGAGGTGCCACGCGATTGCAATCCCATCACTTCCTGAACATCAGAGACTAACGATCTCTGACGAATGATCTGATGCTGCCCATGGATACAGTTTAAATAATTTATCCAGCTGATATTAAAACATTTAGACTGGTCTGAGCATATTAATAGGCTTGTGGAATGTAATATTCATGTCCGTCTTCACATGGACGTCTCGATTAAAATGAAATGAGCTTTGTGGTCGATGCCAACTTACTCCCAGAGAGAACCACGGAGGAGACAATGAGGATTCCTTCCCACTAGACACCTCACCATGACTGTGTAACATATAATCATATTCATCACAGAGAAATGTACATGAGGATGGAGGGAACAGGTACACCTTTTTTCCCCCAGATAGCCATTTCTTTCTGCCCAACTTGAAGAGATTCCCAGCATTACGTTGTTCACCGAAGGACCTGCGTCATCCCAACAATCCTTTCCCTTGTTAGAGGAGGATGTTTAGATTTACGATCTGATCTGCAGCATGAACCTCCCCGCACCTCGCCTCATCCTGAGCTCTGCCACATTCATGTTTGCTTCCTGTGGAGGTTTTGATCACTTTTCGCAAACATCAGCCAACCACTTCCCATCATGCTCACTCAGTATTATTATTATTATTCCTCGAAGCTGCCAATCAGGACATTAGCTTTTAGATCAGCTGGTCTCTTCTATTCAATAAGCACAGTAAAACTATTGCATCTTTATCAGATCATCTTCCTGCTGTTTCTTTAATTATGAATGTCTCTATATACCTTCAGTACGTTAATGCTGGCGTTAAGCAGCCCAACACCTCCTTACCAAACGCCCCATCTTCATCAGATGCATCAGCTTCATCATTCTAACAGCCTCATCAGCCATCAGCTCTGTGAGGGAAGAAGCCATTCCCCTTGTCAAGAACAATGACCGGAGTGCATCCTTCTTGTTCACCTGTCGCCACCCCGTGTCCATCTCCATAGGGCGAGTGTGTTAGTCTTGTTCGTCTCACTTATTGATCATTTATCTGTCTGAGGTGTGAGGCAGTCACCATGACACATCAGTAGCCTGATGTCCCCGATCAAACTTTAGAAACAAATGTTGGCAAAGAGTATCAGGCGAAGCAGCTGATGAGCCATAGATAAGAGGGGGACATTAGTTAATGGGACATGGAGCTCTTGTTGTTGAAAATGTGGTTGTTCATTCAAATAACATGATGCTTATATCAACCTTTGGCATACGCCTCAGTACGTTCCCCCTACATTCACCGGCATACAGTGGCGGGACATTCATTTTCTATCTGAGCCTTCTGTTCCTGGTAACCCACAGTTACAGGTTTGTTATTTGTTTAGTGTAAACACCTCATATTCACATAACACTGTGCCATTTAAAGTGAAATAAAATGTTATACGAGGCTCAAAAACTACAAACTGCAGATGCATAAACTCAGGCACGACGGGATGCTGCGTAATTAACAGACAATGCATATAATCAACGTACTGTATTTAACTCAAACAAACTAAAAAGAAACAGTCAATGCATTTTCAACAAAGCATGACAAAACAATCCCTCAGAACTGAAGCACTAAAACACAAAAACACCATTATATTATTTACATCAGAGGGAACAACATTAACTATTTAATAAAAACACAACATACAAATTAATAAGCTACAACACTAGAAGCAACGCTGCAGGCTAGAAGCAGAGCAACAGAGGAAGACAGGAGCTGTGAAATCAGATAAAAGGCTCATGGGACAATAACTATGTATTGTATATATATATGTATATAAAAAGATTAGTTGTAACTTTATGATTCTGTTTAGGCCAGACACCACTGCCGCTATCGAAGCAGAAAGTCAGTGGTACAGCCTGAGGGCCGCCTCTCTCTGCTGCATCAAAGTTGAGAATATTTTGATTTGAGGTGCATTGAAAAAAATAACTACAAAATGACGCATGGTGTAAGACGGGAGCGCACCGCAGGCGCGGTGTGATGGCTCGGTGTGATGGGGGCAAACCTGCATTGATCTCTTCCTTTCTGTGTGTTTCCCCTGATTGCACTCCTCCCACTCACCTGCCCCGTCCACCCAGCTGCCTCCAAATGCCTCCTCACCCCACTCATATACACTCCGCCGTGTTCCCTGCTCCAGTGGTCAGATTGTCATTGTTCTTCCCCTTGTGCGTGTCTCTCATGTCAATGCCCTGTGTCTCTTTAATGACTTTTGTGGATTTTTGCTCAGTCCCAGTTGGAGTCGCTTTCAGTTCCTTTTGTTTATTGTTTTCTGTGATCAGTAAAAAACAAGCTTTTTTCAATTTAAATCTTGTCTCCAACGTCAGTCTCTGCGTTTGAGTCCTGACCCAGCCCTGAACCCGGACAGGTGGAGCATCAAATGATGTGCTGCATCCCGTTTTTGTGAAGCTAAAGTTTTGCGGCCAGAAAAACACACAAACAACGTCAAAAAGAAGAGACTCAAAGTGTCGGACTCTTCTTACGAGGTAATGATAACAGCCGAAAACAGAGAATGAGCTGCCTGCAACAGGTTTCAGACTCGACTTCATTTGAGATGAATTTGACTAGGGAGGACAGCACAAATAGCTGATTTGGCAACAACGTTAACGGTACACTGTTTTTTAGGTAATGGCATAAATCAGTCCTGCTAATTCAAGTGAATGCAAGTGTTGTTGCTTTAGAGTTCCTGTAAAAACCTCTGAGAAATATATTTTAAAATGAAAAGATTTAAACATTTTAAAATCTTTTTTCAGGCTTTTCATCTAATGTATGTAACAAAGTCTTCAGTAAACCTAAAACAGTGAGGATCCAATAATTTTGTCAGCCAAGGCTTGTAAAGCCTCGCATTCCTCCTCAATGGTTAATTAGCCTCCTAGCTACAATGGGCATTACGATTTAATCCATACGAGATCCTAAACCATCAGCTAATTGATTATCTTTCATCCATCTTCTGTTCTTCCTAATATATCATCACTTATATTCTCCTGAAACCGTAGAAAACGTATCATCAGTGCAGAGTGATGTTCTGCCTGTCGGTCTCATGTTTTGAGGGTTTCACAAAATTTGAGATCACACATGAAATGGCTTTATTTTGATAGAAAACAAATGCCTTTCATCCACTAAATGCTCACTAGCTAAATGCCCCCTCCTCTGAAACAATGAGCTAACTGAAGCTAAAACAGATCTGCAGAGCGGAGGGGGGGGGGATTGACATCTCTCACATTAGTGACCACTCTCTCCGTCCTGTCTGCCTGTTACTTACCTGTTTGTGTGGCTGCTTTTCTTGCAGGTATTGGCGGTACAGTGGAAAGACCTGGGGCCT